GAATGCTATAGCATTTGTTGCATATATCAATTAAAATATGTATTTCCAATTGCTCTAAGAAAAAATGTAATTTTCAAATAACTTTACCGCCATTTTTTGCACATCAGTAAAATTTTTGCTGTTACTGTTTTTGCGGAAAATTACATTGTTTCATTAATTTTCACCAGCCTTTGCACGGAAAACGCTACAGTTAACGCTGCGCTTTGCACCGAGATGAGCTTTTTACTCTTTACAATTTCTTTACATTTTGGAAAGCCTTTATAAAAATTGCTTAGCTAAGTGCGGAACTACGTCAGATAGGTATTATTGGTATTGGCTTCAGCCATCCTAAGTGCGCGAGTCTTGCCAAAAAGGTAGCTGAGACTGTTGTGGATGCCAAAAAAGGTTTGCGCTGGTCCTGCCGAAATTGCGAAAGAAACACATCGACTTCTATCATCTGTTTACCAAGCGCAAAATAGGCGTTTTGGAATTAAGTAAAGAGCTGGTGGCTCTGACCGTAAAATTTAAAGAATATTATATGTAAAACGAATGTGAGTACATAAAGGTCTCCGAGTTACTGGAAACTGTTATAAAATCCATTTGCAAAGTGGTCAAACTCTTCCTCCCGCGTCGATTCAATTATCAGTCTCAGCTTTGCTTGGACTCAGTTGTCAGATATCCCCTACCCTGCGCTCAGTTGTTAGATATCTCCTCTCCTAATCGCGCTAAAAACCTTCCGATACAAAAAGTGTAGGACTAAGAAATTTAAAGTAGATTGTTGTGGCGTGAGGGAGCCTTGGTTAAAGAGTTTATGCCCAGGAAAAAATAAAGAAAACTTTTGCTGGTACTACATCAACAAACTAGAAGGGACGAGCCTTTTTTGATTTATTATCAAAACGTAAGGAGATTTAAACCTCGTTACATTTTTCTTCGAACCCTAAATTGTGAACATCAAGTCATACCGTTAATGGAAACGAGGTTGAAACCCAAAAACCTCAATAAATTTCTGCGCAGATTTTATCAGACATACAAATTCGATAGGTTGAACCGGACCGGAATAACTATTATTGTTATTATGAGTACACTACAATATAAATTGCGTTCAATTGCGAGAACCTTACGTCCCATCGTTTGGGGTTGGGGTAACTCAGCGGCCCAGGAAACACAAGAAATTTATGGTACACTTGGTCGGTTATAAGAATTCACACTTTATTGATTATTTTTCATTAGTCTAACAAAATCCGCAAAATCATATTTCCCCGAGCGAGCCGTCGCCCTCGCGGTTCGCGATTGAATCTCTCAATGGTCCAGACTCGACTCCCCCTTCTAAATTATTCTACACTTCCTTATTCTTAATCTATTCTTATTCTATTCTTAATCTACTCCTATTCTATTCTTACCCTATTCTTATTCTATTCCTACCCTATCCTTAATCTATTCTTATTCTACTCTTAATCTTATTCCTACCCTACTCTTAATCTATGCTTATTCTCTATCCTATTCTCTAGCTTACTCTTTAACTTATTCTCTATCTTAAACTAGCACTCTCCCTCCACTAGAGACGGGGAAAACGAGGGACGACTTTGGCTCCTCACAGAAATGAATGTACTATAAGTTTACTGCATTTATTTATTTATTTAAATACTCACACATGAAACTCAGCTAAAATAAATTAACAGCCGAATTCAATTAACTCTTAGAAGTAAAAGTTATACTAAATAATATTAAAAAGTAGTTGCGATGCTGTGTAGTGCTTGGGTTTTCTTTGTACCTAAACCAGTCACATTCACAAAAAAATATACGAGAAAATTTATATATATATAAAAATGATAAATAACTAAAGTCGTGTCTTCTGTCGTCTCATCATCTCATAGTCCGTTAGTATTGTTCGTTTGCTTTTTAGTCTACATATAGGCACCTGTTGGTCCTTTACGTCATTGTCTATGGTTACATTTCCACACTTTCATACACACATACACTTATACTTCATAGTCGCGAAACCTCTTAGATATTTCATTCATGTCTGAAATTTTTTTCCTTTTCTAATACTACTTCTTAAAACTAATGCTGTGTGATGAGGTCTTCTATAACCGAGAGCAAATACACTATAGCCAAGCCTACCTACCTTTAGCGCAACCACTTGATTGATTGTGTTTTCCTTGCTTTAACTTTTTTTTCTTTTTATTTGCTGCCTTTAGTTTACACAATGCTATTTTTAATTTACAAGAATATTAAAGTATGTTTTAATAGATAGTTATGTATTTAGAAAAACTCCAAGAACAATTTCACAAAAAAGTCTTGAAAAAATAGTGTCAAAGGATTTGCTAGAAATGTTTGGAAAGTTCTTTTCGTTTTCCTATCATAATGCCATGTCGTGCCGTTAGGTTCCATGTAGACCAGATATTTTTATATACATATGGGTCAAGGCGTTGAATAGTTAATATTTTGGCGAAGTTCGATCATTGAAATAGTTTTCCTGGTATTCCGTTTTGGTTTCAATTTCTAATTTGGTTATTTCTGAAAATGACGTTTTTGAAGGTTTGAGCTCTCTTAAATATAATAGGTGCTTACACTTTGTGTTGGGAGACTTGTTTTCTTTTTTCTATTCACAAAAGTGGAAATAGAAGGCATTGCCAAGTTGAGTGCCTTGCCTAAATTGTTCGAGCGAATTGTGGCTCAACATATGGCCTTTGTCATCAAATCGTATATTTCTCCTCCCCAACATGGCTTTCAAAAAGGAAGATCTACGGTCACTAATCTTAGGTCTTATTTGCACAAGGAGATCATTCAAGGTTTTGTTTAATTTCATTACCTCCTATGAATTCCCCATGACGTCGGGCTTACCTCAAGGCATCCACTTAGGACCCATTTTGTTGAATTTATACATTAATGATTTGCCCTCAGTGATTAAATCTATCTAATGAGGTGAAACTATTTTCTTTCTTTTGTTAATAAGATATGAAGTTCACAATATTTTATTTACAAAAGCCACACAATCGCAAGTTCCATATTGTGTTACTTATGTAAATGATTGTGGGATACTAAAAATTACAACCCATTTCAGAGTATTAAACTCACGCCTTCGTATACAACTATGTGAACTGTACATTTAACTGTAACGTATATTTAGCTAAAACGTTTTTCTTCTCGATTGAAAGACGTCCTTGAAATTTGCACTGCTATCAAATGCATACTTCTAAATTAGCGTTTATCAAAATCTTTTCTTAATGTCAATTAAATAGTGCGAAGTGTCATCAGAAATAACAGATAGCTTCTATTCACTGTACTCATTCTCATTGCATATTGATTTCTATTTGTAACATTTTATCCAAAATTCACATGAAGGTATATAAAACTTATTGGATTACCGGTATCAAATAATTCTATATCTTATTTTGTTTCTATAAAACATACAGATATGTCTCTTGCGTTTAAAGTAAGTACCTGTACCCAGACTTAACATCACTTTGGCCGCTGACATTTGCGTTATTTATGCTTGAACCGGCGCCTTCCAGAGAGCAAGGCAATCCTTATAGGCTAGACGCCTCAACTACGACTGGATTACCAATTTATTTAATGTGTATGACCAATTTAACCCAATCCTCGGAGTGTTGAGGCCTATCGTTACATCTAGTTATTCGCTTCATGAATGATGAAAATCACAGCCATTTTGATACCCCGCAAAGCAGTAGTCAAGACTCACTACCCCACTACAAGATTCCAACCCTAAGGACGTTTTCTACGCGGCCAGTTGGGCCCCTGACCCCCGTAGAGCTTAAAGTTAGACTATAAAATCTTTGGCATTACTTTATGTGGCCGCGGTCACACTTGCCGTTGAATGTACCTTGCAATACCGGTTAGCCAAATCCAAACTATGCTTCCTAAAGATATACACGCGTAGGCGGATACAGCCTATCTTTTTCAATCAGCTTTTTGTGCACATCTTTCTTTCTCATTTTTTTTTTATGTAACAAAATTTCTTTTCCCTTGTACCCTACAACACTTGTGGGTACAAGGGTATTTTAAATTCGTGCGGATGTGTGCAAAACCCAGCAGGACTTCAGATACACCCCACATCTACTATACCGATTGAGTTGGAATCGTTTTCCGAGTCGATTTAAATTGGTCCTTATGACCGTCTTTTTTCTTTTGTTCAACCCGCAGGCCCACATTTTCAAGAAATTTTTATGAAATTCGTTACATTGACATGTTTCTCCCACGGACGAACGCTGGAACATGTTCGGATCGGACGACCTTTTCGATCATAAGCCATATAACGTTTTACTTTGAAAAGTCCTTATATGAATGCAAGGCGGTGTGGACTACTGGACGCTTTTTAATTGTGCTTGTTCTTATTAGCCAACACTCTCTGACAATTGCGCTTAAGCATCGTTATAATCCACCTGTACCTAGTTACTTATACTAGCTGTCTAAGTTTACAGATTGCCATATCAGTAGGGTTTTTTGCTCATTCCGAAGATTGAACATTCTCTACACGCCAACGACATCTCTGCTTTAACCCACCATTACATAGTTTGCACTACTTCGCTTAATTAATAATAAAGCAAAACTTTTGCATTATTTTTATGTAAATGCATAATTTCCATGAAAGCTCTCATATTTGAGTATACTCAACCTTCAACTTGATCTAAATTTAGCAAACTTAACTTACTTGTCAAAGCTTTTGTTATCTTTTAGGCAATTCCGTTGTAATAAACCATAAATTTGTCGTGAGGGCTCGATATAATACCAGCCCTCATACGTGGTGGGGCGCAAACTTAGTCTACCCCGCACCGCACCACATAAGGGGTGCCAGCAATATTACTATTATTATTTATTTATTCAATAATTAATCAGTAAATAAACAATTACAAATTGCATTATTAATTGGGATTAATTGAAATTAAAATGGATTTGTCATGCCAGTAAGACTATAAAGTGCAGCATTGTCAATTCCTCGTATTCTACTTATTACTCACTTGCTAATCACTTATGCTAGGTTTACATTTTCTTATATTTCTACATAATGTAAATCTAGCTATAATCTAGTTAAGATAACTTACTTTAGTTATAATCCGCATTAAATGTAATACCCTAATTAAGATAACTTACGTCTGTGAAAGTTAGCTTGAAACTTTAGTATTATGCTTAAGCTGATGCAACAGTTTATTATATAAGACACTGACCGCAGTTCAGTTAAAAGAGAATATATTATGGAAATCAATAAACAAAGCATGAAAGTAATTATCAAACCGAATAAATGTTTGAGTTTCACTATCAAAGTCTCTTTCAGCAAAAATTAAAATACTATATAGGAAAATTGGAGCAATTATTCAGTGCCGAAGATATTCAACTCAGTTATATAATTACTCATGACACTAAGAGCTATAAAATTTCCTGATTGGTGCTGTGAACACACTAAGAATAGCCGTGATATCAGATCAAGAAAGTTGCAGATTTGTAGAAAACGCCTATATGATACGCAAAGTCGTCTGGAGGACATAAATTATCTAATAGTTCAAAATGTTAGTTATCTTCGTAAAGTCTAGGTTTTAAGCAAAATCGACTATGAGTTGATCATATACAGCAGTAACGGCAAACCGAATATAAATATTTTGAAATCGATTTATCACCAAGTGGTCAGAGCCGGCACTCCGAAAGGCATGTATCCACAACATCATCCCCGAATTCGTTCCTTCAAAGATAGAGCTGAAGGCGCAGATCCTTCTAAAACTATTTAGCTCTAACAATTCAGTGTTTAGCAAAGATGTTACAAAAACTATTATTACCAAATAAAAAAAAAAAAATTTCAAACCGAAATAAAGTCCTATAAAAATGCTGCGAAAGAAATAAATAAACATTTCCCGAGGGTTAGGAATCAAACAATCCTGCGGTTTAAAAGCCAATGCTTGTGATAATCCTGATAAACAGAGCATGCCAAAAAAAATACACTCCTAATCTCATGCTCACAAAACTAATAGCAGATCAAACTCACTTTTTGGAAAATAATGATTGAAGCACTTTATTTTGCAAGTATTGTGACTTGCCCCTCCCTATACAGCAACAGCTATCGCAAAGCGAGCCCAGGTTAATCATACTCCGACTTAACATTTAAACCCAAAGCTGGAGTTTTTCTTCAAGCCACAAGCCTTACTTGCGAAAACGTTTGTAAAGGATAGTGTGTCGAAACAAACACAAGAAAAATACATCTTTATCATACTGCTGCGGCGAATCAATGGATCCTTAGAAAGTCGGCTCCTCAAATATATCTTGTGAATGTTAAAACTTTTAAAATGCATTTTGAAAGCACCTGGCGAACATACTATTAATAACTGTTTAACGTTATTGCAGCAACTAGACTAACCATCTAGACAATCTTCTTAAAAGAGCCCATTGTTTTAGCTGTTAGCACTCGTACCACCTACAATTTATTTTTTTGGTCTAAATGTACTAGTACATAAAAACAACAATGATAACTTGCTAAAAGAAAAAACCAATGTAATTGTATCGAAAAAACTATATATTAACTGCTTTCTAAGCAGTTTTTGTAAATTTGTCAAAAAGTATTTCAAATTTTTTTATTAATTTTCACAAATCCAATTAGAATATATTAAGTATTGGGAGGGGGAGGTTAAGAAAATGAGCAAAAAAGATTATACTGGATACAACTACGCAGCTGAAAGTAAAAACGATTCTTCGAGTGATGAAGGCACGTCGTTTTACTATTATCATATTTCTTGGCCTTTACCTTTTTTTTTCTTTTTTTTTCTTGTTTTATCCCGTTACCTAGAAGACAAGCCTAAACAGATCTTGCAGCATGCAGACGAGGTACCCCGCCCTCAATATACCGATGAAGAATTAGATCGCCTAGTCGATTATATTCAACGTATGACTATGTTGTTTGCTTTGGACCACCGCGATTGGACAGAGGAGAATCTGGATATCATTCGACGATGGCTAATGAAAGTGAATGAACCATTGCTAACCATTTTTTATGATGCTAACAAGCTGAGCGCTTGTTTAGGTTTCCCAGTAGCGCCCGTTTCTGATCTCACTTATTTCTATCGGGAACCAAATTTTATCTTTTCAGTTGGAAATTTTCATGACGAAATAAATATTGGTACATTGCATGAAGATGTGGACGGATGTTTACTGAAAGTCCTACAATTAGTCTTTGCGCCAATTCTTCGGAATTCTGATTGGAACGATAACGTTAAATCGCGATTCTGCAAAGCAATGGATAAATTTCTCGGTTATCTCACTAGCTTAAATTCGAAAATGGCAGGCATGACAGTGCTTTATGTACCGCATGTAGTAAAACAAATCGCTAAAGGCAATGCCACACAAGATCGAGAGTTTCTAAAAAATATGGAAGCGGTAGTTGTGTTTTGGACTAATCAAATACGTACTTTGCTTACGGACAAGACGCTAGTAGTGCAACATGACTTAGTAATACCAGAGGAGGAGTATGAATTTTGGTTATACAGATGTAAGTTGAAGAAAATGATCAGAATTAATTAGAAACTGTAATTTTGCTTGCATTATAGTCGAAGTTTTGCATGGTCTCAACACCCAATTAGATCAGGACGACGTTCAAGATATTATCACTATTTTGCGAGCTTCACAGTCGGTCTATATAAAGCAGATCGATGAATTGATAAGTGAATGCCGCCAGGAAATGGAAGAGGCTAAATCAAACATCAAGTATCTGAACTTGTTGATTGAGCCATGTGCCCAAATCGATAAAGCGGAGAGCCCATCATCTGTGCCCGCTTTATTACCACGCATTATCAATTTTATTACCTATATAGGGCTGAAATCGCCTTTTTATAATCGCAAAGACTTAATCACCAACCTCTTTCGTAATCTTAGTAATCAAATTATACGCTTTTGCGTAAAACAGACTAATGTTGAAAAGATTTTGGAGGGGAATTCCCGTTTTGGCATTAAAATGTGCAATATGTCTATTGATTGTTGTTTATCCTATAAAGCAATCTATGAACGCATGGCCAAGGAGCACGCCCGCAAATTTGAATGGGATTTAGATAATGCCATGATTTTTAATCATGTTGACGCTTTCGCGGAGCGCTTAAACGATCTGATCGACATATGCGAATCAATGATTGTTTTCGCACGCTTGGATGAAAGTGAAAATATACCGAAGCCACGTTTCGGTGGCACCAATGGTCAAGAATTCGAAAAAATAGCTGAGAGTGTCGAAAGGCAGTTCCTACAGATATTGGAATCGATGAGAAGTGATTCTAAAGATCTTATTTTGGATGTTCATAAAAACTCGTGGTACGAGGAAGTTTTGAAGTATAGGCGCACTGTCCGCAGTTTAGAGGAATCTGTACAGCGTTTAATGTCAAATGCTTTTCAGAAGGTATGCAATGTTGAAGAAGCAGTTGAAGTTCTGAATGTTACACTGTTCTATTCATATCGTGCAACGATACGCAAAGCTTATTTGGAAATGGTTAGCCAAATGTGGATGATGTTTGTATCGGAAATGAATGCTACCGTAAAAGCCCAGATGGATCGCGTTAAAGTCCATGAATCGTGGTTAAGTTATTATGCGTCCCGCGCAATAAATTATCGTATTAATCTGGAGCGTCTAGAATGGTTAAGAGATCGTTTGAAAAATTCCGACTGGTTACCTTCAGTGCCCGAAGCTAAGGTGGCTTTGGACAGATTTGAATCTTTAAAAAGAGACTTTTTGAAGGAAATTCGAAAAGTGTTTGACGATTGGGTACGTAATTGCAGTGGCAGCTCTTTAATAAACCGTTTAGATCGTACTTTGTTGACAAGGAGCAAGGTGAAACGCGGTCTTCTTGAATGCAATATAGACCGTTCGATTTTGACGATTTGTCGGCAAGCGGAACAATTCGAACAACTTGGTTTCCAGATCGGTGGCCAGATAAGAAGGATCTATGAGAGATATCCTAAATTAAAGTTTGTATACAATAGCGTCGTGACTGTTTGCTTAGATTACAATCGTATTTTATCTGTTCTTTCGGACGACGAGCGTAAATTATTTTATGCTTTGATACACGCCTGTGATCGAAAAATAGCACCAGGTCTGTTTAAGCTAACGTGGGGGGGAGAACTTAGCGATGCGTACATCGCAGATTGCGCTAAACATACTAACAAGCTGCAAGATTCGCTGGACATATACAAGAGAGCCAATCGGCATATAGCCCGCATATGTGAAAAAATATGTGACTTACAGCTCTTAAAGTTTACTTTGTCCAGTGCCGCTGAACTGCCTTCAGTTGACATGAGTGTAGCGGCATTTAACCGGAGGGCAACAAATCAACTTTTGAATTTATACAATACTATAATCGATTTATTATTTGCCGTGTTCAAGGAATTTCAATCAGTTATTGATGAGGTGAAGAGTTTTCTTGTTAATTGAACTTTTACGTTGCAAAGTTGTCCTATTTTTTCTCGTCTCTGCAGATGGCCCCTGAATGGTATAACTATGTCAAACAATTTGACGATATGTTGGCAGAAGCCCTACTTACTTGCGCACGTAATTCCCTTTCAGTTGTTTATAACTCCTTGTGTTCTGTTGGCGACATTCATCCGGCTCCATTGATCATAATGAACGTTGACATTGAAAATCGCGTTATATCCTTAAAGCCACCAATGGATGAGATCGCGAATATGATGCTAAACATGCAGACACGTGTTTTGAACAGTCTCGAAACAATACCACGTATTTCAACTAAGTTAGGATTGCCGAAAGAATTGCAAGGCCCGTCTTTTCCTCGTCTAATGGAAAAAGACCCTAAAATAATCGAGATAGAAGATCAAATAAACTTGGAAGTTGACTATAACAGAGAGGAAATTGCAAACTTCGTTTTGTCTTGGAGACCGCATCGTTTTATATGGGAGCGAACGGAAGAGCAATACATTGCCAAACTCGAAGAATCAGACCAGACAGCAATGGTTTTTGATGAATGCATCGAAAGAATGAGCTCGCAAGCGGAACAGATCTCAATAAGAGACACGATAACTAATGTTTATTTCATTATGGTAAACCAAAGTAAATTGAAGCAAACTCTGATGGACTTTATAGAGCAATGGCAACTATTAAATATTAAGATGCTAACAAGACGGGCGACGTCTCGTCTTAAAAGTAAGGCTGTTTTAATTATGCATTACATATAACATTACTCACTTTTACGATCATATAGAGGTCTACCGTTATATACGGCGTAATGAACAACGAATCGGCTTTGTGCCCCGTACGCTCAAGGAAGCCAGAGAAGCGTCAAACTTGTTTAATCGTCTAATGGCCGATGTTCCGAAAAAAGAGGGCGAATTCCCATCGATTCTAGACCTTTTCGCGGTGCTAGATAAATTCCAAATCGAAGTGGCTCACTCAACGCGTAGTTTGTTAAATAATCTCAAGTCCGCTTGGGAGGGCTATTTAAAGAAATTAGGCGATGCCGACGAAATGTTATTCAGTACTAAAGAAGAATTTAAAAAGAACTTGCAGCAACAGGCGGAAAGATTCCGCAATGTAATGAAACATTTCTTTGCAGATTTTATGATTAAATTACCTACTTCTTCTCAAACGTAAGACTTGTATTTTTACCGTTCTAAATATTTGAAGTGCTTTTCTTTCAAAACAGCAACATTCTCGTGTTTTCATAGAAACCCAAAAATTGCTATCAAATATCTGAGAGTTGTCAATGAAAAGGTGGAAGAATGCTTCAAATTCGAGAATGGTCTAATGAACGATTTAGCTATTTTCGGTATTAATCTAGGAATGAATATGGATTTACGTCGGTTATTAGAAGAACTAAAAACTTTGACCGAAATTTGGGAACTGATTTTAGAATGGCAAAATAATTGGAACGAATGGCGTAAGGACAATTTTTGGAAAATCGATATTAATTTAATGGAAGACACCGCCCTCGACCTTTACAAAGAATTTAACACACTTTTCAAAAAACACTATAGTCGTAATTGGGATATGTTGATTCACACCACTAAAACAATTGATGGCTTCAGGAAAACATTACCGTTAATCACTGCTTTGAAAAATCCGAGTATGCGCAAAAGACATTGGGACAAAGTTCGTTCGGTGGTACAAGAGTAAGTTGTAAGGTTTAGGTTTACATTGAGAATTTGCTGTTTAACTGTTTCTTGAATTACGAACAGAGATTTTGACGAGAACTCAAACAAATTTACGCTGGAGCTGATTATAGAGCTGGACTTCCAATCCTATTCAGAGGATATCCAAGATATTTCAAATGCTGCGACCATGGAATTGCAAATTGAAAATAATATCAAGAATATAGCCAGTATATGGCGTAAGCAAAGCATTGAAATGGCGTTTTATCGTGATGGCATATATCGTATCAAAAGCGTTGACGAATGCACTCAATTGCTTGAAGAACATATGGTCCAAATATCGGCGATGAAAGCTACGCGGTTTGTCGAGCCGTTTATAACAGTCGTGGATAGTTGGGAGAAAACTTTGTCATACATTGCCGAGACCCTCGAGAACGCATTGACAGTCCAACGTCAATGGCTATATTTGGAAAATATATTCTCTGGCGAAGATATTCGTAAACAACTGCCAAACGAAGCCAAACGTTTCGCGGCCATCACGGACGAGCTTCGCGCAATAACGGCCAAAATGTATGCGGCTAAAACGGCTGTACATGCTACTCATTTAAGAAATCCACCCTTTGTCTTGGAACGTTTTCAGAAAATGGACGTGCGATTAGAGTCTATACAAAGAGCTCTTGAAATATACTTAGAGCGGAAACGTCAAATATTTCCGCGATTCTATTTCATTTCAAACGACGATCTTTTGGAAATTCTGGGCAATAATAAACGACCAGATTTAGTACAAGTTCACTTGAAAAAGCTCTTTGACGGTTTGACGAAAATAGAATTGAAACGAATTGGAAAATCTCTTAATCGCTGGCAAGCCTCTGGTATGTACTCTGAAGATGGTGAATATGTAGAGTTTTTGAATGTTTTATACGTGGAGGGAGTGTCAGAAAAGTGGCTTAGCGTCGTGGAGGAGTACATGTTCGCTGTATTAAGAGAATTATTAAAATTAACTCGAGCAGGTTTGAAAAAAATGGCTGCCAATCGCGAGAAATGGCTTTCACAGTGGCCTGGTCAACTAGTGAACACCACTAGTCTAATACAGTGGACTACGGAATGTACCCGAAGTTTAATCCATTGTAAAATGGTGGATCAAAAAAAGCCATTGCGTAAACTGAAGCGAAAACAGAGCAAGATTTTGAGTAAACTTTCAGAAATGAGTCGAAAAGATCTGTCAAAGATTATGCGTCTTAAGGTCAATACTTTGATCACTGTCGAAATTCATGGCCGAGATGTTATAGAACGTATGTATAAAAATAATTGCAAAGATGTCGGACATTTTGAATGGTTTTCACAACTACGATTTTATTGGCATCGTGAAACAGAAACATGTGTCATCCGCCAAACTAATACGGAGCATTGGTATGGCTACGAGTATTTAGGAAATTCTGGCCGTTTGGTCATAACTCCTCTTACAGATAGGTGCTACATAACTCTGACTACTGCTTTACATTTGTATCGTGGAGGTAGCCCCAAAGGTCCGGCAGGCACAGGAAAAACTGAAACAGTTAAAGATTTGGGCAAGGCTTTGGGAATGTGGGTGATTGTTACTAACTGCTCGGAGGGCTTAGACTACAAAAGTATAGGTAAAAATTTTTCCGGTTTGGCTCAAACGGGTTCTTGGGGTTGTTTTGATGAGTTTAACCGCATTAATATTGAGGTATTGTCCGTGGTGGCTCAACAGATACTCTCAATTATTTCCGCATTGACAGCTAAACTTACTCAATTCAACTTTGAAGGACAAGTTATCAAATTGCGGCACACTATCGGTCTTTTCATTACTATGAATCCGGGCTACGCAGGTCGCACTGAATTGCCAGATAATTTAAAATCAATGTTTCGGCCAATATCAATGATGGTTCCAGACAGTGCTATAATTGCTGAAAATACATTGTTTTCCGATGGTTTCGTGAATACGGGCAGCTTAGCCCGTAAAGTGTATACCTTGTATGAACTGGCTAAACAACAATTGTCTAAGCAATTTCACTATGATTTTGGCTTAAGATCTATGGTAGCCTTGCTACGTTATGCTGGTAGGAAAAGACGCCAGCTTGCCAATGCCACCGAAGAAGAGGTCGTCTATTTGGCTATGCGTGATATGAATGTGGCACGCCTGACGGCGAATGATTTGCCTTTGTTTAATGCAATTATGGCAGATATTTTCCCAGCCGTCAGCGTTCCGTCTATAGATTATAGTGATTTTAAGGTAGCTATAGAAGATGAATTCAAAGGTAACGGCTTGCAGGCAATACCTATAGCGGTGAAAAAGGTGATCGAATTGTACGAGACTAAGAATTCAAGACACTCTTCCATGATTATTGGTGACACTAACACAGCAAAATCAGTAACTTGGAAATGTTTACAAGGTGCCTTCATACGTATGAATAATAATAAGAAACCCGGCTGGCCGGCTGTGGCTGTGCATCCTATAAATCCAAAGGCTCTCAATTTGGCTGAATTGTATGGCGAATATAATTTAGCCACTGGGGAGTGGTTGGATGGAGTACTCAGTTGTATTATGCGAGTAATTTGTGCTGACGAAGATCCTACCCAAAAATGGTTGTTGTTCGATGGACCGGTTGATGCCGTTTGGATAGAAAATATGAATTCTGTAATGGATGACAATAAAATTTTAACGTTAGTTAATAGTGAAAGGATAACTATGCCTGCTCAAGTCTCGTTGCTTTTTGAAGTAGGCGATTTGGCTGTCGCTTCACCTGCTACAGTTTCACGTTGTGGTATGGTATACAATGACTATCATGACTGGGGTTGGCGTCCCTACGTTGAATCATGGCTTGAGCGACAAAAACCACCAGAGTACGTGAAATACCTTCGCAAATTTCTCGACGAGTTTATGGATAAAGTACTCGCTCACAAAAATCAAAGATGTAAGGAAGTAGTCAAGACAAACCAACTTAACGTTGTAATGTCTATGTGTCTCCTCCTGGAAGGCTTTGCAACCAAGCAGAACGGCATTGTAGTAGGAGATGAGGAGCTATTAGAAACAATGACTAAATTGTGGTTCTTATTTTCACTAGTTTGGTCAGTGTGTGGTACTGTAAATGAAGCAAGTCGTTTGCGTTTAGATGCTTTTTTACGTGAAATGGATAGTTCTTTCCCTATTAAAGACACTGTTTATGACTACTACGTAGACCCCGGACAACGTTGTTTTATGCCTTGGGATAGTAAACTTTCTGACAACTGGAAGTACGATGAGAAGTGAGTTGAAACTGGAACTAAAACCATCTTTGGTCTCAACAATATGATTTTATGATTTTAGCGAACCCTTTTATAAGATCATAGTGCCAACCGTGGATACGGTTCGTTATGAATATTTAGTTTCGAAAATGTTGCAAGATGGTTATCCCGTGCTACTTGTGGGTAATGTAGGTACGGGAAAAACTTCGACTGCTGTTAGTGTCATGGAAGCTTGTGATAACACCAAATACACGGTTCTTTCTATTAACATATCAGCTCAGGTAAGTCTCTTGTCTACCCATAATGGCGACTGACTTCCACCAACTTTTTTTAAAGACTACGGCGGCTGGTTTGCAAGAATCCATTGAGAATCGAACGGAGAAACGAACTAAAACACATTTTGTACCGATTGGTGGCAAGCGTATGATATGCTTCATGGATGACTTCAATATGCCAGCTAAAGATACTTATGGATCACAACCACCACTTGAGTTAATAAGGCAATGGATCGATTACAAGTATTGGTTCAATCGTCGCAATCAACAAAAAATTTATGTTATTAATACACTGGTAATGGCCGCCATGGGTCCTCCTGGCGGAGGACGCCAAGAGATTTCCTCACGTACTATGAGTCGATTTTATCTTCTTAATCTAACGTTTCCTACCGAGACCGTTATTATGCGCATTTTTGGTAGTATGCTTAAACAAAAACTGTTAACCTTTTCAAATGAGATTCGAGAGATGTGGCACGGAGTTACCGCAGCCACTATTAACATTTATAACGACGTTATTGTGCGTATGCTACCTACTCCTGCGAAGTCCCATTATCTATTTAATTTGAGAGATATATCAAAAGTTTTCCAAGGATTATTACGTGCCAGCTCAGAGTCCCAGGTCAAAAAGCCGCAATTCTTAAGACTGTGGATACATGAATGTTTTAGAGTATTCAGTGATCGTTTGATCGATGACATTGACCTGGGTTGGTTTTTGAATGAAATGAATGACATTCTAGGTCGTTATATGGAAATAACCTTCCACAGTTTGTGCCCCAATAAAGTATCCCCGATATTCGGAGATTTCATGAGTATGCAAGGATACTATGAGGATTTAGATTTCGCAAAGTTGCGTGTATATATAAACAAGCAAATGGTGGAGTATAATAACTTCCCAGGCATGGCGCGTATGAGCTTGGTTTTCTTCAAAGAGGCCATTGAACACGTTGCTCGTATTCTGAGAGTAATATCACAACCCAGGGGCCATATGCTGAACATTGGCATAGGCGGTTCGGGAAGACAGGTGATAGTGAAATTGGCCGCTTTCATCTTGGAAATGGGTGTATTTCGAATTGAAGTTACCAAAAAGTACAAGACACCTGATTTTAAGGAGGACTTGAAAAATTTGTATAAAACCACAGGTGTTAAACAGCGACCGACTATCTTCATTTTTAGTGGAGAACAAGTGGTGGAAAGTACCTTTTTAGAAATAATTAATAACATGTTAAGCACTGGTGAAATTAATTTGTTTAAATCTGATGAATTTGAAGAGCTGAAAACTGAACTAGAGCGGCCGGCTAAAAAGGCTGGTGTACAATTGACGACAGAAGCTTTGTATAATTTCTTCATGAAAAATGTACGGGATAATATGCATCTTGCGTTATGTATCAGCCCCATTGGGGTAGAGTTCCGTTCATATATACGACAATACCCAGCACTAATTAATAATACAACGCCAAACTGGTTTAGATTGTGGCCCCAGGAGGCCCTGTTAGAAGTTGCTGCACATTTTTTGTCCGAGTTCAAAATAGATGTGCCAGTACCGGGTAAAGAAATAGAGAAGACACGCGAAACTTTAATAGAGACTATCGAGGATATGCTGCAACGTGAAGTAGCGTACATTTTCTCCATTATTCATTCATCCGTAAGAGAAATGTCAAATATTATGTTTTTGGAAGTCAAACGACGTAACTATGTTACATCCTTAAATTACTTACAACTTGTAAGTGGCTTCAAAGAACTATTAGAACGTAAACGCTTCGAAGTTTCTTCTGCCGCTAACAAGTTGCGTAATGGTTTGTCCAAAATTGCTGAGACTCAAGAAAAAGTAAGGGAGATGTCTGAAGAATTGAAAATCAGTTCTGAGCAGGTGAAGGTATTAGCAATAGAATGTGAGGACTTTATTGCCGTTATAGAGGTTCAAAAGGCTGAAGCTACCGACGCGAAGGACAAAGTAGATGCTGAGGCAGTTATAATAAAGCGTGAAGAAGTGGTTTGTTTAGACTTGGCGGCCACAGCTCGAGCTGATTTAGAGGTTGTGCTGCCGATGATTGATGCTGCTGTGAAAGCCTTGGATGCCTTAAACAAAAAGGATGTGTCCGAAGTGAAATCTTACGGTAGACCACCGATGAAGATCGAAAAGGTGATGGAGGCAGTAATGATTCTGTTGGGTAAAGACCCAACATGGGAAAACGCGAAGAAAGTCCTGGGCGAAACGACCTTTTTGAATGATTTAAAAAATTTTGATCGAGATCATATTCCCGATAAAACGTTGAAACGCATTGCAATGTATACTAAGAACCCGGAATTAGAGCCCGATAAAGTGGGTATTGTGTCGGTGGCTTGCAAATCTCTGATGTTATGGGTAATGGCCATTGAAAACTATGCAAAAGTATACCGTATTGTGGCTCCAAAGCAAGAGAGGTTAGATAATGCAATGCGCTCGCTAGCCGAGAAGCAAGCTCTTCTGGCTGCAGCCAAAGCAAAATTGGACGAATTGAATGCTCGACTTGCGGAGTTATATAAGCAACTGAATGAGAAAACTGAACTATTAAACGAGCTAAGGTTGAGAGAAGAGAAACTTCGTAAGCAATTAGAAAGAGCTATAATACTGGTCGAATCACTATCCGGTGAACGAGAGCGTTGGATCGATACAGTCGCTTCTCTCGATAATCGATTTACTAAACTGCCCGGAGATTGTTTGCTTGCCATAGCTTTCATGTCATATTTAGGGCCTTTCGATACAAAATATCGTGAGTTGTTATTAGAAAGATGGAGTAATTTAATTAAAGACAAGGCTGTTCCCGCAACTGATGAATTGAAACTCACTACATTTTTGTCTGATGCAGTAACTATACGTGAGTGGAACATCCAAGGACTACCGGCTGACGATTTTAGCACTGAAAATGGTGTCATTGTAATGGAAAGCAGTCGTTGGCCTTTGATTATTGACCCTCAGATGCAAGCCAATACATGGGTGAAAAATAATGAAGAAAAAAACGATTTAAAAATAATTGATTTCACACAACCTGACTATTTGCGCATCTTAGAGAGTGCTTTAATAAATGGAAATCCTGTTTTATTGCAAAATGTTGGGGAAGTTATCGAGCAGGCCATTAATCCTATATTACGGAAAAGCTACACAGTACAAGCGGGTCAAAAATTGCTAAAATTCAATGACAAATATTTGACCTTTAACGAAAATTTCCGACTATACATAACAACGAAAATGACGAATCCACTTTACCCTCCGGAGGTATCATCGAAGACTACCATTGTTAATTTTGCTTTGAAACAGGATGGTCTGCAAGCTCAACTTTTGGGTATTATAGTCCGAAAGGAGAAGCCCTCTTTGGAAGAACAAAAGGATGAGCTAGTTTTGACTATAGCGAGAAATAAGCGTACTCTTATTGATTTGGATAATGAAATTTTACGTTTGCTTAATGAGAGTCGAGGATCTCTCTTAGACGACGACGAGTTATTTGCTACTCTGCAGAAGTCACGACAAACTTCGATATTGGTCAAGGAATCCCTGAGCAATGCAGAGATAACGGAAATTGAAATAGACATGGCACGTCAAGAATATCAACCAGCAGCTAAAAGAGCTTCGATTCTATTCTTTGTACTTATGGATATGTCTAAGATTGACCCCATGTACGTATTTTCCTTAGCCGCCTACATTTTGCTGTTCACACAATCTATAGAACGCAGCCCAAAACATCAAATTGTTGCTGAACGTATTCGCAACATAAATGACTATCACACCTACGCCATGTACAAAAATACTTGTCGCGGTTTATTCGAAAAGCATAAACTACTCTTCTCCATACACATGACTGCGCAGATATTATCTAATGCTGGTCGTTTAGTAGAAGAAGAGTACAATTTTATTTTGAAAGGCGGCATTGTAGTAGATAAGCAAGGTCAACCACCGAACCCATCACCAGGTTAGATCGGTCTATTGTTTAATTTTTTCCCTGAGAAAGTTCCAGTTATGTAAATAATTCTTGATTTTCAGGTTGGATAAATGAGCAATCTTGGGATAATATCACAGAACTTGACACAGTCGCTGGTTTTCATGGAATTATTGATTCATTTGAATCTAGTGCAAAGGCTTGGCATGGTACATATACTTGATACTCAAGTTTCCCCGACACTGTCCACACTAATTTTATTCCCTTTCAGTTTGGTACGCCACCACAACACCCGAAACAGAGGATTTGGTGGGAGAGTGGAATGATAAACTCACGGATTTTCAAAAAATATGTGTTGTACGTTGTTTGAGGGCGGATCGCGTTTCTTTTTGTCTCACGCAGTTCATTATAAACGCTTTGGGACCTCGTTATGTGGAACCACCCGTTCTCGATTTGAAAGTTACTTTCGAAGAATCTATCGCTCAGACCCCACTCATATTTGTATTGTCACCAGGCGTGGATCCTACGCAGTCCCTTCTGACTTTAGCTGAGCAGACTAAAATGTCTTCGCGTATGTTTTCTTTAAGTTTAGGCCAAGGCCAGGCACCGCTAGCTACAAAAATGATTATGGATGGTGTACGCGACGGCAACTGGGTCTTTTTGGCCAACTGCCATTTATCACTAAGCTGGATGCCGACCTTAGATAAAATTATTGCTACTATGCAAACCATGAAATTACATAAACGTTTCCGTTTGTGGCTCAGGTGCGTAAAAAAAAATAACTCGTAAATTTTCTAAACTCTAAAAAAAATATTCTAAATATGCGTTTTGCTTGTTTTTTAAAACAATTTGATACCAAAACTTTATTGTGGATATACCCATGCCGCATGTAAAATGTGTAAATTTTCATCTGATGTTGTCGGACGCTTATACACTAATAAACGGAATAACAGCTCTAGTCCTCATCCAGACTTTCCTATTTCCATTTTACAAAGTAGCATTAAAATGACTACAGAACCTCCGCGGGGTATAAAGGCCAACATGAAGCGTTTATATAACAACGTCAATGAAGTAAATTTCGATCTTGCCATAGATCCTTCTAAGTACAAAAAGCTGCTTTTTGCTCTTTGCTTCTTTCACACTGTGTTGCTTGAAAGAAAGAAGTTTCTCCAGTTGGGGTGGAACGTTGTTTATAGTTTTAATGATTCGGATTTTGAGGTGTCGGAAAGCTTGCTGCTTTTGTACTTGAATGAATACGACGAGACGCCGTGGGGTGCTCTCAAATATTTAATAGCAGGCGTGAACTATGGCGGGCACGTAACTGATGATTGGGATCGACGCCTGCTGACCACTTACATTAATCAATTCTACTGTGATGACGCCTTAAAAATTTCCAAATATCGGTTGGTTTAAAAAAACGACCATTTGACATTTTCGAATTGATTATATATTTTCCCATTCCACTATAGTTTGTCTTCTCTGCCTAATTATTTTATACCCCACGATGGCGATTTACAATCATATTTAGATCAAATACAACAATTTCCGAATTTTGATAAACCAGAAGCATTTGGCCAACATCCAAATGCGGATATTGCGTCCTTGATTGGGGAGACCCGTTTGCTTTTCGAAACTTTAGTTTCCATGCAAGTGCAAACTGCGACCTCAGCTAGCGAGAGCAAAGAAGCTAAAGTTTTGAAATTGGCCAATGACATACTTCTCAGCACTCCGGGTGAACTAAATTATGAACAAACGGCTAAATTGATCGGTTTAAATCGCATGCCTCTTGAAGTGGTTCTCTTGCAAGAAATTGAACGTTACAACGATCTCTTGCGTAATATGAAATGCCATTTGCGTGATGTTCAGAAAGGTATAAGAGGTCTGGTTGTTATGAGTACTGAGCTAGAAGACATTTATCAGTCAATCTTTGACGGGCGAGTACCACTTGTTTGGCTTACAGGTATAAATTGGCAATCGATTATATTTTAAAGCTTTGATTTTAAGAGACGTGGTTTTACAGCTTACGCGTCTGAAAAACCTTTAGCTGCATGGTCTCGTGATTTAGTATTTCGTATAGAACATTTTGCTCACTGGGCCAGAACATTACACCCACCGACATTGTTCTGGTTGGCCGCTTACACTTTCCCAACTGGATTCATAACTGCGGTGTTGCAAACGTCAGCTAGAGCGACACGTACACCTATCGATGAATTAGGTTGGGATTTTTATGTATTTGTTGAGGACGATGCTGCCGCTGCACGTATTGTGCGCGAAGGAGGTGGTGTGTATGTGCGCAGTTTGTATTTAGAAGGGGCGGGATGGCTACGCAAAGGTCAATGTCTTTGCGATCCCTCGCCTATGGAGCTGGTCACACCCATGCCAGTAATACACTTTAAACCAGTTGAACAATTAAAGAAACGCACTCGTGGTGTATACGCTTGCCCAGCCTATTATTATCCACAGCGCGCCGGATCGTATGTTATTGCGGTGGACTTAAAAGCCGGCTCAGAAAAAGCAGATTATTGGATTAAACGGGGTACCGCTCTTCTTTTGAGTTTGAGTTTGTAAACGCTGTCCAAATCTAAACTTGATTCTCTCTACATTACAAACAAATATATTTTTATATCAATGTGTTCATATTTGAAATATATTTTTTAAACCTCTTCATTTTATTTCTTTGCATTGTCAGGATTAAGCAGACAATTGTCTTCCTTCTGTCTTGCCGTGCCCCAATTGTAATTTCTGCATTGCCAGGGGCAATCAAACGTAGTTCACCATCTTCACAATATTTCGTCTAAAATATAAAAACTGTTTTTGCCCTACGTAAATTGATTAAATGCTCCAGAATTTTTTTTTTAGTCTATGACGTAATTGCACTTCACTGAATTATGAAAGCAATTATTAATTCAGAATGTCAAGTGTAGACGATTCAAAGTAATCAAACCAAATATTGTATTGTATTGCATACCCTTTTTATGCAGCAAGGGAGAGGACATATACTACTATATAGAACATGCAAATCTGACTGCAGGATTCGGAAAGGGTTAAAATGAGCTTTAGCTGATTAACTGATAAAAACAAAGGTGGACCAAGATTATTTAAGACCTTAAATTAGTGGCAAATGAAAGTGTCATTATAATAAATAAATAAACATGGAAGGGGGAAAATACAAAAGATTATCGTTATACCAGGCAGAAAGAGGAGATAATTGATAAAATTCTATTCGAAATCACTTCCCGCATGATTATGCGATTATTCATCAATTATCTGTACCGTAATTCCTCATTTCGCCTTATATTAAAACACAGTTTACATTTCCGATTGTTTATAGTCCAAGCGAGTCTTCTTAGAAACTAATCTATTGCTTTATTGGATACAAATGAGGGCAGTTACTTACCAAAATGCAGGTAAATGTTAAGTGAACTATATAGCTATCTTATACAAAGTCGGTGAAAATATATGCCATATAAAACAAAACGCGGGCACGTTCAGAAAGTGAAGAACATTAAAGAAAACGTCCTCCTTCAATATTAATACTGAATGATGACCTTGGTGAGAATATGTGTAGTCTGCCAAATTCTTTTTCATTTTGACATTACCTTGCAAAACGCTCGTCATTTATCGTCAAATAGTATCAGTTTAAGTGCTTACGAGCGTTGAATGAGAATTTGTTTCCAATACCGCGAAAGATTATACCTCCGATTTGAACGTCTCGATTACCCTTATTTCAGAAATTTTTAGAAACTAGAATTTTTATCTCTTTCAATTTTGGTAAGCGAAAACACTAAAAGCTCTATATAACGAAATTCAATATTCTGTTAATTAATTTGAATTAGATTTCATATTTCTTTTACGAGTTAAAATTTCTGATCGGCAAATATTAAACTTTGTCCAGAAAAATTTAACAAAAAACCATACTTGACCGACATTGCCATCTTATAAGGCTCATTAATATATCTTAGTTACACTGCGAGACAATTATGTATGATGAAAATTTAGCTTTCGCCTCTGGTTTTCAGCTAGTTTTTCTTTATGTCTGGTATATTAATCAGAGTTTTTTGATATCGATCGTTTTTCGCATTATCTAGGTAAAGCAGTTATAAAATATATAAAGATTTGTGTGCTGATTAAATATCCTTTGCTTAACTTTCTTCATTTTTGAAGACGAAACTTGATAATACCTTTTTTATTATATATCACTTTCGACATTGGTTTTTCTGTTAGAATATATTGTTACGGAAATTCCAAATCCTGTTCCTTGCAACTAAGTAATAAAATCCCTAAGTGCTCATTCGCAGCATACAACTGCCGGCCGAGGAAAACGAGTACTAGAAAAGAAGGTTAACGAATTAAAAATAAAACTATAAAATTAGGTACTAGTAATATGATGGTAAAAATGTTTATAAATAGAATATTTGTGGAAGGGAAGTTAGTAGAAATAAAATTTTGCGTTGAGCAGTCGAAAGTATTGCCAAAAATAAATTGTGAATAGTCCTACATTTTAAGGAATATAATTGTGAATAAAAGAACTTTAAAATGTGTTTCTCTTGAACAAAAATATCCACGGTCCAGTGAAACGCACTGTATCTTAGAAAAGCGAATTTTATAACATAACCTTAATACTATCTTTCACTGTAACCGGAGTGGTCGCATGGCGAGCAGTGTTTTGGATCTAATCTTTTCTAATTCAACTATGTTATCATTCAACTGGAACACTATTAACGTCTCCATTAGCAAAAATCAAGACAGACACGTAGAGCTATCACAATTAAAGAGTTATGGGGTAACGGCAACTCGCGTCTTCTCTGGAATTATATCAATGGTCAACAACATTTTACTCGAAAATTAAGCGGTTCTGCTATGTGGAGCGACCATGATAATAAAAGATAAGTTTAAAGAGATTGGGTGTGTTAAATCCAATCGCCTTTTCTATGAAATAAATATCACATTTCAGTATAAACCCTTATCAATGGCTACCTTTAACTCCTGGGAAATCAAAATTTTTCAGAGACTCATGAGGGGTCACACTTACGATAAAATATATTTAAAAATGATTTATGCCATACCATGTGATATTTGAAAAGTTTGTAATCTTAGCGAATCTGCTGAACATCTAATTTTTAGACGTCATCGGCTTGACGGTATTAGAAGTTCTTTTGGCTTTTTCAAGTAAAAGGGTGGTTTGCAGCGAAAAATGTATGTCATCTTGGGGAACTAACTTCCTTTATTAGAAAATGGGATCTATCTTTTTAATGCGTGATAAATTTTCTCATCAAATTTGATCTTTATAACGGTCCTTTTTTGCTTTCAGCCAAAGCTTACAACAGCTTTATTTACCTCACTTTCAGCAACCCAACAACCTGCATGTACACCTAACATATCCGCTTTAACTATCACGGTCGCATTTTTTTGTTGTGTTTTCTATACGTTTCTTGCTAACAATAAATACTGTTTATTATCTGGACACATAAGTCACAAGTTTATTGGCTTGATCCATCTTAACTCATCATCCCAGGCAAAAAAAAATTATCTGCAAGAAAAAAAAAACACTAAATTAAAGTGAAATAAAGTGAATTTCAAAGCTTTTCAATAAATTACAAATAGTGGAACTCATTGTTTTCAAAATTGGCTCCATAACTGCAAACGAATTATGCGGATAGGGATTATCAAAAATTTCCTTTAGATTTCCTTTCGTTGTCTTATTATAGCTGTTTTTTTCTTACAAAAGCAATTTATTTATTTATTACAAAAAAAAAAAAAAAAAACGAATGTTAGTGGATACTATCAGAAATAACTAAATGACAAGATATTCCAGCATTTCGCTTTTGCGTTTCCGTCATCAATAACGGTAGTAATGCTGCTAATTAGCAGTCATTTGACTTATTGCTCTTTCATTCTATCGATTTGCTATGACGTACCATTCTCTCAAAGGTTAAAGCAGAAGCAAATCGAATTTTGGGTTTGGAAGTGAATAAATATGCGGTATGCGATGTAGTAGCGAAACAAATCGAACAGTAGGTAGCAAATATGATTTCTATTGCTTTCATCGATTATTTCTTGTTGAAGAATCCTAATTTTGCATTTACCAATTGCCTTAATAAGTTTCGGGCAATTAGCGCGACATTGAAAGCAATGAGCAAAATAAATTATTTTATATGAAGTATGTTAATTGGTTAAAGTCTTACCAAAATATATCCGATTAATTCAAATTTTTTTCTTTTTTTTTGTTTTAATTTCGCATGCATTCTACTTTCCTTTTGTTTTGTTTCAATAATCAACATCAAAACTTATTGTCGTCTTCTGACTAGCTTTTATATATATTAAAAAAAAAAAAAGATTTTAATCAAAAAATATCGATATGTTTGTATAAGGATATCTATGTGTATATGTAAAAAAATATTTAAAAAAAAGATAACAAAAAATCTCATAAATCTTGATACAAATAACTATAAAGGCGGACTTAAACTTTAACATAATATATAAGAAAAAAATCCAAATGATTGCTTAATAAATTATCTAAAGAGATTTAAAAAAAAAGTCAAGAAAAATTTATCTTAAAATATATTAAGTACGAAAAACAAAAATGAAAGAATGTTAGTTACAATACTTTTTTCTCTTGATTTACTTCATATACATAAAAAAAAAAAAATTAAAACCATCTCTTAAAAAACAATTATGAAAGTTACACACGCTTCATGGCAAATTTCATATATACCCACCGTCTCAAGCGAATGTAAAGCTTTCTAATAATTGCGAAGGTCACCAATTAGGGTTACTTTTTCTATGAACGCTTGGATGATTTTGACTAACCTTGGTATCTTGTTGTGGTTGCAAATTATTGAAAAAAAATATTTTGAAATTTTTGTTCGATTTTTTGTCAATTTTTTGAGCAAAAGTTGTGGAAGATGCACCTAGAAGGCATTATACAAAGACACGACAGATTGGCCTTTACCTGTGCGGATGCGAGGATATAGGTAAACGTCTCTTCGATACTTAGGACAGACGACTCATCAATTCGATGCTCGCATCGATAAATAACTTATGGATTACGACGTTAGTGAATAAGTTAGTGTGGCGTTGTTTATTTGTGTGTCTGTAAAAACATCCTAAAAAACATGTAGTTGAGAGGAGGAAGAATAATAATTTCCTTCTGGCTAAAGTTATTATTGGTGTTTTGATCTGAAGTGGTGCGAACGGGAGGGGCCCTTCTCCAAGATTCGTTACAAGTCACGATGTTACAAATATTTTTCTATCCTCTGACTGGAGTTTTTGGCTAAATAACAGATGTTTAATACTTGGCCCACACAAGATTGTAGTGGGTTTGTGCGGTTATCAGAATCACTTCCGACTTGATTGCGGTCCGTTTGTCCGGCATGGTTGAGCGCTATCAAAAACGGTTCAGATCGAAGTGGTCTGGGATGTATTTAATAGACCGCAGCAGACTTGCTGCTTCTCAGATATGGTGAAACTATAGGAATGACATCAATATCTCCGTCATTTGGTAGTGAGTATAAAAAAATTATTGTACGGCTACATGCTTTACGCGTGTTAAAGTGTACTCGGCTTAAAAGATATTAAAAATTCCAATGCGACTTAGCAGTTCTAAGTAGAAAGTACATTAGTTTGTTGAGGAGGAGAACGCATTTTGTGACCAGAGAAATTTCTTCAATTTGAAATGCCCGTTCAGATGCAGTGTTAACGGGGACAAAAGAAAAAGATTTCTCATGTTTTTTTCATTTTTTTCTAGAATTATACTGAAATATATAAAAAAAAAACACTTAAATTCTACTTATGGCAAGTTGTTGTTGTTGCTTATAAAAAAGTTATATGTTACATAAAAATTATGGAAACGTGCTTTAATCTCCTTTAATTAAGGGCCACCTCCAATCGTTGTAACGATGATGATGATGATGATGATGATGTGGATGATGATGACGATGATGATGATGATGCTATTGTTGACCCCGGGCATTTACCCAATTTACTGTTGAAATCGCCATATAAGCAAACGGGCGGTTTACAATTATGCTCCAGAATGCATCTGCAAGCGATGTAAATCAGGACAACGCATTGAAATAAATTCTCAATTAAAAATACATTTTCTTACTTGCGATCTTCCAATGAGATGGCTTCTTCACCCGCTTTGAAACGTTGGCACATAACGTTATTGAGCAAGCAATCACAGCGACATTTACGTGTAAAGACACTGTGTGGTCTCGGTAAGTGTGCATGACGTTCAACATCCTCTTCGAAAACATTAAAGTGTTGCGGACAATGGCAACTAAGCATATTTTCCATAAGGTTTTGTTGTTTTTGTAGCTGCAATTTAGCCAAGATATCAGATCTGCGCCAATGGGCTATCGTTGAAGTTGGTAGTTGCTGTTGTGATTGTTGTTGCAGTAATTGTCTTTGTTGCCATTGTTGAACTTGATGATGTTGTCCGGATCTTTTGCCACGCGGCATAGAATCGTGCATCAGCAGACTGCCTCGATTAACACAATGGCATTCTGTGTGATTTTGCATCGGCAATGCTTCGATTTCTTTGCGATAATTAAAGTCATACGACTAAAAATAAATATAATAACGAATAGATAATTTGAACACTGATAAACGAAGAAGAGCGATCATTCTATACTAATTTTCCGCTATTCTATTATCTCCGAAGATAAAAGTAAACATTTAATTGCATGCTCAGCAATGTAAAGGCAAAGAGGTATACTTTTCCTAATCTATATCATTTCCAACTTTTAACTGTGATACGCTTTCAATCGAAATCGTTTGCTGGAAGAAAATTAATTCGAGAAATAACACTGCATATATGATAAAACTTCACTGATAAGGACGGCTTATTACTTAATAAATATATACTTATGAATAAGCATTTTTAAAGCAATTACTAACGAGACCATAACGCATTTCAATAAGCCCATCTCGCTTTAAAGTCGGTTTTTATACTCTTAGACTACTTGTGGTACAGGGTATATTAAGTTAGTGCAGACGCATGTAATACCCAGAAAGGCTGATGGTTGACCCAGCTTTTCTTATACTGATCGATTCGGAATCATTTTCTAAATCGGTCTAAACCTGTCTGTCCGGCTGATGCCTGTCCTTGCAAATGTGTGTTCAAGTTGTAGATCGCAATTTTTGAGATATTTCAATGAAATTCGGTGCACTGACGTGTTTTGATCCAAAGATGAAAGCGGTTCGGATCGGCTCACTTTTTCGGCGACTCCTCATACATTTTTGTCCGAAATTACTATTATGGGTCACTCTTCATTACCAAATATTAAAACGTAGACTTTTCTGCTCTACAAAGCGTCAGTTTTCGTGAAAACCTTTATTAGGGTAGGGATTTGATTTTCGTCATGAAGCATTGAAAATTATAATTTTTTTTCCATATAACCACTTTTCGGTATAGATCGATTCGAATAAAAGATGGGTGTAATAATTTTGCATTAAAAGTGTCCTGCTGTTATCATACTACTGTCAAAGCAATTGCCTCAAAATGAAAGAAAAATCTATTAGTAAACTTGGAGGAATCGTAACTTCGAGTCTAAACAGCTACGAAATTTTTCTTAAGACTTCCTTTTCTCTTCGAATAACCTCTTCAGCAACGAATACAAAAGTCGTTTGCCTTGGGAGTACCGTTACTAGATCACTTGTCAGACTAGGTGGTAGAAAGTGAGAGACATCGTTGAGATTTGATTTTGCATGCAAGTCACTGCAATGCTCTTGATATTATTAACAGCCGCATTGTGAACGCTATCACTGAGACGTCATATGCACAAGGCACAAACAAATGTTAAACTGCTATTGTGACTTTTCGTAATTGTGACTTATGATCATAAATTTGAAAACTTCAGCAGAAATCATACATAAGTGCCGGTTACAAAGGATTTTCATTATTATATTAGGAAGGGGAAAACTGTGGTTCGTTGTTGAAGTATATTTACAGATGTGTAATCACTGTTCGAAAAAACAATAACCCATATGTTGGGACCAGCGTTAATTGGGAAGAGTGATATATGCTGATAACGGCAGGGAAACAGAACATTGCATGTTAGAAGTACAAGCATCTTCTGAGCGAGTTTTGCTTTATGGGCAAATATTATTTCTTCATACTGAAAAGTCACAAAATAGTGATTCTTGGTATATCATGCATACTTTTTGTGCAAACTGCATCAATTATTATTGGTGGTAGCTTTTCTTAATGACGGTGTCGTACGGGTGGAACAAAATCAAATACGCATTCATCCCAAATGGAACCACCATGGAAGCTTATCTCTATTCTTGACTTTAATAATTTGCGTTCTGTACATCATGGTTATTCGACATCTCATCTTCCATTGTAAGGATTTACCAGCCCTAGTCTTCGTATTAATCAGGAAATCCAAGTGTTGTTTTCCTCCGCAAGCTCAAAACCCTAAGAAAGATAGTACTTTCAAATGAAGAAAGCGCACATTCATTCAGCTCGCTATACTTATATAAATAGCGGATTTCTTTTTTTTTTAAGGCATTATTTTCATGGACGCTCTTATATAGGAGGAGTTTCAAAACTGACAGGGTCTAAATTTAACAAAGTTAATCTTCTTTTTAAAGACGTTGTTTTAATATTCACCTTTGACCTATGCTCATAATGTACTAGAAATTAGACTTTGCTGTCGTGCAAGCGCTTACTTTCCATGACGACCTTTATAATGACGACCTGAAATATTAAGACTGTGATCTTCTTGTTGCCGTCCCTATTGGGCCAGGATACAGAAAACAGACTTGCATGGTTCAGTTCACTTTTATGACAAACTACTACTATGGGCCAATTCTATCGAGAAAATTTAAAAATTAGATCGTTTTCCACATCATAGCAGCGATTGTATGAGAGATCAAAGCCGTTTTATATTTTTTGATCGATCGAAAATCGATTTCGTATACCAAAATTTCATTATCGAGCGACTTTTGTCGAAGAATTTTTAAGACTGTAAAATAGCAGGAGAAGGCGTTATATCGGGAGCGATTGTAAAAATGGTTCGATTCAATCCTCTTTCAAAAAAGGTCTTGTCTAATCCACAATGCGTTAGGTTACGAAATTTCATATCATTTATCTCAAAAACTGCGACTAGTGGACAGACATGCTTAAATCGCCTACTCTACACCATCCTACAGACGTTTATATAACGACGACTCCAAATAGGCCGTTATATAGGAAGTGGTCGAAAAAGTGGTCTGATTCGAAATATTTTTAGAGTTCGTCTTTTGGGGCAGAAAGCGAATACGCTTCATTTCATCAAAATTTGTGGCCCGTACGTTGAACACAACACGGACAGACAAGCTTAAATGAAAGTAGAAAGTAATTTTGAACTGATCGGTATAATAAAGGACCGATCCATCCGAAACACTTCTGGGTCTTATATATATCTGCAAAACTTAGTACACCGAGCATTACAAATTGTGTTGGGTATAAATCCATAAGGAAAATAAGCAAAAAGGTACTATGGCAAGAGCCATTATGTGAACATATCGTCCCAAAATGAACGTAGTTCAGCGTTTTGATGACAGTTATATTTGAAGCATACCTTGAGAACTACAATTGTTATTATAATCTGATTGGTTCGGGGAAAGTAAGCTGTTAGCTCTCAAGTGCAACCCACTTTGATCGTTTAGTGCGGCAAGCATATTAATAGAGCGAAAATCATTGGAATTATAGTCGCTAGCTTATAATCGTTGCGGAATGTACAAGCTGTGACTATGTGTCGAGTTGATGCGAGAAAGTTGAATCACGACTTTCAAAAAAAAAGTTAGAACAAATATGTTTGTATGCGCAGGGGAATATAAGAGTGTAAGATCATAGATCTCCAGATTCTTTGTTGCAGTTCCTTTTTGCAAATAGTGCGCTGTAAATAGCTCTTTTAATTAACATCTAACGTTAGTAAGCAATAAAACGTAATCAAGGAAATTTTACGTAGCATTACATGAAATGCTTCTTGTCTTGCTTGCTTGGCTTACTTAGTATGAAAAATTTATGACTTTTCTTTAATTTTTAATCGCATTGCTATGGTTGCATAATTAAAAAGAAAAGAAAACAAGTGAGCAAGAAATAATAAGCTGAGCTGCCATAGACACACCTACAACTACTGAATTACACTTTCGGACATTTATTCTACACCTTATCTTTCTCTTATTTTTCTCCACATATCGTTTTTTATATACGGAATGTACTTTCAACACATATTTTGTCTGCGTAGCTGCTCGTCCCTGTCGTTATTTACAGCTTGATGGCTGTAAATTATGGCTCAAAAGTTTGGGGTGGGTATAATTGGCATGTGCGAAAAATTTTATGTAAAAACCTTTTAATTCTTCTTTATCTTGTCTCGAATGCGTAAGAATGAGCATATTTACACTTTTCACAACTGTCTACATTTTCGCATATTCGTTTTCGCATTTCGTTTCGTTACTAAAAGCGTCCGCTAAAAGAGAAATTCTATGCACTCTTAATAATTCTTACTGCTTTAGTTGTAAATGGCCACGTCATTGTTATTGCATTCGTTATGTCCATTAACTAAGGATGGCGGCATACTCATTTTGCAATTCATTTCCCGAAATAAGCATAAATATTCTTGACCAAAATAAAAGTTTAAGCTAACTCAACACATCTTTCTGTCGCTTCAATTGGTCTCCGCTTCATAGGTCAAGTTTTAAAGGTCACCTCGTCTGCGCTTTTAAGGAACATAATAAAAAGCCTAAAAAAGAAGAAAAGGAGAACTCGACGTGTAAATACTGTACAACCGCGCCGGTTCGTCTAAGGAAAATATGCCAAATTATCCGTTTCCCAAATAATAACCTGGAAACGATGACATATACCTCACTATATACGCAAGAATTACATTTCTCGTCATAACCGAGAACCATGGTCCGTGAGCAAAATCTACCGCTGTATACATTGTTCGAAAGATGGTTCCAGGTGCGTTAATATGAAGACGAAATTTGCTCATAGATCGCCTTAGCTGTCAACTGTAGAACCGCGCCATTGGCCTGATTTTCTTGCTGATATCAGGCGAAGGTTTTGCAAGCCACAATAAAACAAATTTCATAGAAAAGCAGAGTTTGTAGCAGCGTTGAATATGTGGAGTTTTATGCCAAAAAAAGGGCCTTCACCGAGAGTTTATTTTCTTTGCCCGAGCGATGTAAAAGAAAGTCTTTTCTTCACTTGTTAAGCAACGCTTTGCTTCGTATGTAAATGAGAATAAGACAATTCTATGAGCGATTCGCGGGAAAAGAAGTAGATTTGCAAAGGCGTGACAGGTAAGAAAAACTTGTTATTAGCGAATAGCACTACCTCAACTAAAAAATTTGTACCTTTTTCACACAATAAATATTCCTATGCAAAATTTCGTTTACTAATCGACATATCTGAGGTGAATACTAGAGTACTAGAAACATAATGGAAATCAAAAATTTGAAGTTTCTTATAACCGTACCTGAGATAAAACACAAATTGATTTTGCGAATTTCTGGTGTACTGAAGTCTAATCATAAATTTGTGATCATCTGTTGAGCGGGTCGCAAAGAATTTTTTGCTGATCATAACATAATATACAAAGAAAATTTAAAAGAGAAATATGAAAAAAGGAATAAAATATAAACATTTTTATGCGATTTGGTGGAAAATAACCACAACTAGATGTAGGTGTATAAAGACGTTATGGAATTACTGATCAATTTCATTACATTATAGTGTAAAAGGGACAAGATAGATCCATTTCCGTTTGATGATGCACTCTTCAAGCCATTCGCAGGTTCATACCTCAAGTGCGTTAGGGTTTACCTTGGTCATAGTAAAAGGCTGTGATCAATCGGTAAAGGTAAAACACTTATCGGTTGGGCACACACTCACTAGACTCCCTATTTTCTTCACTTTCCTCGGTTCTTTCGAGTAGAGGACACGCCACGGTCATGTTAACAAAAAAAAAAAATAAATAAAGAAATAAACATGAAAATTGAAAAATTTCCTTGCTCTCTACGATGAGATGTACATTCATTTAGTCGAAACGTTTGCAACAGCGAGAAGGAGGACGCAAAGACTCGATAAAGTGTATGTATACTTGATTTGCATCAAATTTTCCGTCTGCCCATCCGTCTACCTGGGTAAGGACTGGTGTAAGCATCCTCCTGGTTGCAAAAATGCAACAAGCCGCTTGACATTTAGCAAAAAGATTAGAAATGCTTGCACGCAGGTTGATATTGAAATCGGCCCAAATCGCTCAAAAGACAAAAGATCACAGTACAACATAAACTGAGACCATATCTGCTTTCCAAAATTAAAAAAACTATCGTTTTTTGCTTATTATTTATAAACCACAACAAATACAACGATAAAAGTATGAATTTATATTCTATGGGCGGTCCTGCAGCACTTCTATGGCGTATATATGTACCTTACTCATATGTTGCTTACTCATTGAGTAGACAGCGATTTTCTAAGATTCTCGCGGATAAACTACAACGGACGCATGACATACATTGCCAATTTTAGTCTACAAAATAAGAAAAGATCGGTCACGCTCACGCAATATTATAGAGTACGAAAATTTAGTTTTTTCCTTTTAGTCTACACTTCTTTAGGCGACCTACACTTCTACACTTCTTTACGAGTACAAAAGATTTGATCGCGGCGGAATATGATTTTCTTACTTGTTTCTGTATAAACTTCAATATAATTTTTTCTAACATCATATTTTTTGACACACGGATCATATGAGGAGCAAATAATTACTTGATTTCATTATTATTAATTGTATTAATGATATTATTAGCTAACGGGCAATTTGGTCCATTTTTTAACGGTGCTTGTTTGTTCTAAATAATTAACTAACTAACTAACTAACTAACTAACTGCTACTACTCAGGCATGCCACAGTTTTTTCAAGTTATAGTCGGGAAAACATCACAGAGACGTTGCTAGTCGCAGAGTAGCATGTTTTTACGAGGCTCATAACTTAGGAACCATGCTCATCGCTATTGGAAAATCTTATTGTGCCTAATGTCTACGGATTAACAAATTTTACCCCAAGTCACGAAAACAATGGCGAGGTAACATTGTGATAAACTCTTGTGAACTATGAGCGGTCACAATCGCAGAATACGGCTGCTAGTGTCCCTTAATTATTAGCCTAAAATATCCACTGTATTATAAATCATATTAAGATAGAGTGCAATAGTATGTCGAACACACCTGCCTTAGGATCTTTAATGAAAAAAAGAAGAATGTTTTTTCTATCGAACTGTAACCAACACACAATGCTTGTGCATAATTTGAATGTTCGTATACTTGTGTGTATTGTTATTATTATCTTAGGGCTTATGAGTATTTATACTTACAAAAACATAAACCATTACAACTTCATAACGTTTAACGGTACAAACGCTAGCCGTCGAACCACAACAGCCAGTATCCTCACCGCAACGATGCAAAATTGTAGCATAGGGTTCATAACGTTTCGATGTATTATTAGATACCGGTATAACACGGGGCATAGGTTTACGGCATTTTGTCGCAACGATCATGCGATGCCAGTGATCTGTAGCTAATTCGTGAGGTGTTCCTGTAAGAAAGCAAAATACAAAAAAAAATTAAAATAAAAAAATTATAAAGTCATACTAAATATTATAAATATGCTCAAATTTAACAAACGATTAAGTTTCTGATTACCTTGTTCGATTACATAGTAATGAAGAAAGTATATAGTAATCAACTAAAAAAGCGAATCTTCGATACCCTTCACATTAGGCTATTAGACAGGATTAAAAGAAATGTTATTCTGCGAGAGTTTGTAAGCGGCACAAATCACTTCAAACGGTTACAAAAGTACAACTTTTTGGGTATTCTATGGCAAAATCCAATACTGTAGATATCCAAATTTCTATCTTCTATTCTTCTTTGATCAATAGTGAATAGTACAGTATTTCTGACTACTACAGCCCATAAGACAAATTTAATAATTTCCATTTTTCAATGGTGCGTACAACAAGAAAATGTTACTAATGCTGCCGTAAATCATTATGATATTCTTGCATACATTGGGATGCGTGTATGCTGCCTGTTAGTGTATGAATATTGCTTAAAACTCAATTATCTAGCTGGAGTGCTTTGCACGTTTTAAGAAAATTGCATATTAATGCCTGTCAGAATGGCCTCAAATGCTTAACGACTTTATTAGTTATTGAGAAAAACTTCAAGCACACATATGGCGCAGTCATAGACTGACTTATGGGTTACTTTTCTTACTTTTTTTTTTTTTTTTGTTTCTAAAGCCTCCGTGTGCTTTCGTGGGCAAGCTGTCTAAGTCAAATTGGACAATTATTTGCTTTACTAGTAATGAGTTTATGTTTTTCTTTTTACGTATTCGTGTCTAGCTAGAAGTATAATATAACATAAGACCACATACTTAGCATTAGCTCAGATATACACATACATTTAGTTGTACAACTTCAAACATGCATAAAGGTTTAAAGCATCATTTAACCGCGGTCTTTAAGCATAAGAATATTTATGTGCTTCCTAAATATGGCGACATGCAAATTCAGCTGCCAAATCATAAAATTTCTTACAACTAAAGAAAAGTGGAGGCGGACTTATATGTACATATATATGCATGCATATATATATCGTACAGGAGTTGCAGGAAATAAGTCATGTACCGCTAAGTAAAAGTAAGTCTTAGAGGCTGTTGCTGTTATGTGTATTCTTAATTGCGTTTAATGCGTTTTTTTTTTTTTTTTTTTCTTCAGCTGCTTACGTGTACGACTTTTATGTTTTGACAAAAGGAAACTGACGAATTTATACTTATATTCGAGTAACCAGTAGGGTATAAATTGTGATTAATTTCTCTTTTAACCGTTAAGTATATATTTTTCAACATGAAACGATCTATGTGGAGAGCATAAATGTACGAACAGTAAAAATTTTATGTAATTATTTTTTTTTTATTTTTCTATTTTTCATTAATTGGTTTTAAAATCAGCATTTTTTTAAGTGGGCTTTAATGGATTCATAGATTTTTATCTTAAATTTAATTTATAGAAAATGTTATTTAAAATTAGATTATTTTTAAAAGCGATTAAAACAGCTTTACGCAGAAAAAATGTGCACATTAAAAACGCCATCGACTGAGAGACATATTGATGAGTAAAAATCGCCGCATTGATACGAAACCTCGTAGTTGTGATTCTTCTAACTAGAACGAGAGACATACTATACGTTTTCCATATTGTCGTATACTGAATAAAAAAAAAACAAATGGATAGACGAAGGGACAGACAAACTTCGACCGATTTAGAAAATGGTTCTGAATCGATAGGTGTAATAACAGGTGGATCTATTTCGAGTCCTACCAGTCCTGCCAGGTACATTCGCACATACTTACGATATGCTGGTACCACAAGTAAAATGAGCTATCTAGAATATATATTCAAATAAGGCGTGTAAGCTTTATCTATGCGATATACGAAACTACTTCTATCGGCAACTTACCGATCCTGCCCTTGAATATTTCGCATCGCATAGACTGATGGTAGTAATACGTGGTGGACGATGCTCTACCAGGCTCGGCATACGCACACCATAAATAGGTTTATCTCTAGTGTGGCTTTTGCTACGAAGTGAAAGCTTTCTTCTCGATTTGACCCCCTACTTCTTTCGTGCATAGTAGTCAGAAATTATCGATTGATCGTTATTCGTGATCTGGTAATAAATATGTCGCTTCCAACAGCAGTAACTTTCATAAACTTGGTCGACAATATGGAACGTTATGACAGCTTGCATGTCGGTTTTCTTCGCATTAGTCGCACTATTGATTGCCCTGCGAAAAATGCAGCAAATAACCTTAAGCTTCATATGTTTGGGGTGATTGTCGAAGGACACCCGCGAACATGTGCACATCCCTTGAAGGCTTTAATCTCCATCAATGTTTTCGAATAGAAATTCCATTGATATGTGGCTTTTGAGACTCGAGAAAAGATTTAATGAGCAATTAGAAGACCATACCTTAGCCCACAAAAATGTATAGAGGAATAAGTCGTGAACAGGTAGACTACTTTGAAGACCGAAGAATCTACTTTGATTAATTAAATTCTTTTTTTGCTTGTGCAGTGGTATACATAATAAGTTTGGGCGGATGCATAACATACATAGAAGGACTTGAGGCTGACCCACAGAAAGTGATTCTGACTCGATCTGAACTTATTTTTGTTTATTCTTGCGTTCAACTTATAGGTTGAAATTTTCGAAGTTTTACTTTCTGAATTGACATAAGCTTGTCTGTCCGTCTATCCGTTTGTTCATTTTCTGTTCAACCTACACGCCGCAATGTTTGAGATATTCTGATGGCATTTGGTACACCGACACGAAACTAAGAACGAACTCTACTCAAAATGGGTCGGATCCAACTATTTTTCCAACAAATTTCTATATAACGCCATACTTTGAACAGTCGCTGTATTAAACACTGTATTAAGCAAAGTGGTATATGATAAATAATTGTGGGCTATGCTGCATTGCATCGTTTTTATACCCTACATTATTTGTGGTCTTCGGATCAGACCCTTTGTTCGACTGCTTCTAATATAAAGCCTAGCTAGTGCAAAGTCGTTATATGAATAACTATATTAAGCCAAGTGCCTTGGGGTATTTGATGGTGATTCTCTGCAGCGCTTTTACTTCTTCTCTTTCCGTTCTCCCAAATTATTTGTAGGCGTGTCAAATGATCAATCAAAACTATTTGTGCAGTGAACTTTAGGATGGCTGCAATTATATTTATAACAAATTTGATATATGCTATCAGATATATGATAAGCTATAGCTTCTATACAATTTGTTTTCTTTTTTCTTTTTTTTTTTTAACTATCGTAGGCGGAGTATTATCATCGGTAAAATTGATCTAGTGTCCTCTGTGTGCACTTCTTGTAGCGTTGGATGATTGCCTGCAGGTGTTGCAACCGCAATGATAAAACCGGTATATATTCACCTATTGATGATGACCGTAAAAAAAAAAAAAAACAAAACTATACTTGCGTCACAATTAATAGTAAGAGTCAATTCATTAAAGAGGTTTATATACCTATGGCTCGTTGTCCGTTTGCTTATAAAGCGTTTGGTGCTTTCGTTATTGTTAGCGGCAAACGACGTTTGTTTACATCAAAATAAAGTCATAAAATGTCACTTAAGAGAAGAGAGATAGACAGGTGCCTTCGATTTGACAACGTAATGAATAAAGTGCGACGAGTTTGCGAATCTTGTAACAGCAACAACCCATCAAGCCAAACCAATCAAACATCCAATAGGCAGTTTTAGTTTATAGGACTATAAACTTTTGCTAAAACTTAACATTTAGATTTATTGGTTGCAATAAACAAATTATAAAAAAAAAAAGTAAATAAAAAAAAAAATTGAAAAAAAAGAGCTTCGAAAAAAGCATTGCAACGCCCGTTTAAACACAAACTGGCTGAATAACCAAATATACTCGGTTAATAAAAACGAGAGAAAGCCGTTAGTAGAAGACCTATTAAGTTAATGCCAGTGTGCTCGTTGGGATCACGAGTTTCATCAATTGATCGGCATTTTTTATAATCGGTAGATGTATATATGTATATATATATGTATGCAGATGAAGACGTTGATCGATAGTCATTGTAATTGTTAATAGCTATTCATGCCACCCAAGGATTTATTTATCAAGCCACCCAAGTATTTTTTCTGTCTTTTTTTTTTTTTTTTTTTTTTTTTTGTTTAAAAGGAATTTGCCACTACCATCATGTGAAATTTTCTTCTACTCAATTATAAGACAGATACTAGTGTTGGTGTTTTCTTAAGCCATGCCAATGCTCAATTACAAGACATAACATATATACATACATAAGAGATCATAAATGTTTATATATATGTTCGTATGTAAGTATACTACATATGTCTAATTTTCTATGTTATGCATGCATGCATTCATGTTATTCATAATCTAGATAATACATGTGCATATGTGTGCAGTTAGGCCTATCTTTTTGTCTCACTAGTTGGCTGCAATATTGTATTAATAATAAATTGTCGACCACAATCATGTGCAAACTGCCATAACGCCATCAGTCAGTCAGTCACACGCAAACCCATATAATACTTACTTATATAGCTGCATGCAGATGATCTTGTGGAACTTAGAAATTTTCTTATATATAATTCTCTTTTCTTCTTCTTCTTCGTTTTAAAATATATGCCATAAATTTTTATGTATTTTCTGTGTGGCCAAAAGCCTGAGGGTTTCTTGTTTTTTTTTTTTTTTTTTTTCATACATAATTACATGTACAACACTCAACTAACGAACTGACTCTAACGATCTTCAATGTTAGACAAAATTTAGTCATTATTTCATAAAAAATTAAAAAAAACGATATTAAAGATTTTGTTATCTAAGCTTTATTATTGTAATAACCATATTTCAAATGATTGTGATAATCACCGTTAGATTAGAATATAAGGTTCAAATTTTTAAGGAAGGCTTTGCTTAACACTAAAAACTATCACGCCAGTCTTTTTGACTTTTTTCAATTTTTATGC